CCATGCATTCCTCCAAAACCCAATATACGGTGTTAATGGGAGACTTCAATGCAAAACTAGGCATAAGAGAGAACGGTGAGCTGAAAGTAGGGAAATTTGGAATAGGGCAACGGAACCCAAGGGACCAGCAGCTGGCCGACTTCATGGAGAAAGAGGGACTCTTTATGATGAACTCTTTCTTCCAGAAGCGGACCCACAGGAAGTGGACCTGGTCGAGCCCCGACGGTTCGACAAAAAATGAGATTGACTTCATTATGACGACCAGACGACAACTGTTCAGTGATGTCTCCGTGATCGCGAGGGTGAAAACTGGTAGAGATCACCGAATGGTTAGAGGCACACTGAACCTAAACGTTAAGTTGGAGAGGTCGCGTCTAATGAAGTCAACGCTCCGTCCCCCTCGTGCTCTGTTCCAAAGTCCCGAAACCTTTCAGCTCGAGTTACAAAACCGTTTTCAGTGCCTAGAAGACTGCAATGAAGTGGACGATATGAATGACAAGCTCGTGGAAACTGTCCATGCGGTCGGAGCTAAGTTCTGCAAGACCCGCCGCAGAAGAACACAAAAACTCTCCGATCACACTCTTAATCTCATGGCTGTTAGACGGGAGATGAAGCTACATTCTTCAACAGACTTGACAGCATACAGGCATCTGAACAGACAGATCTCCAAATGCATGCGGCGGGACTTACGCAACTTCAATACAGCTCGTATTGAAGAAGCGATCGAGCGGAACCGAGGCTCCAAAGTCTTTGCCAGAGATCTGTCTGCCAGAAAGAGCCAACTGTCAAAGCTGAAGACAGAATGTGGCAGCATCGTTTTCGGGACACCTGAGATTTTGAGTGAGATTGAGAGGTTCTATGGGCAGCTGTACACGTCATCGTTGGAGCCACACGCAAGTGTGAATAACGATCCAAGAGCGAGTCTCATCCGACACTATTCTGAAGATATCCCGGACGTCAGTCTGAGCGAGATTAGAATGGCTCTCCAGCACCTTAAAAACGGTAAGACTCCAGGCGAGGATGGAATTACAGCGGAGCTTCTGAAAGCGGGTGGAAGACCGGTACTTGAAGTCCTTCAGAAGCTCTTTAATTCCGTCCTCCATGGTGGCATTACACCGGAGGCGTGGAGCAAAAGTGGGGTGGTCTTGTTCTTCAAGAAAGGCGACAACGCTCTCTTGAAGAACTACAGACCGATTTCCCTTCTGAGCCGCGTCTACGTGCTGTTTTCGAGAGTCATTACGAATCGTCTCGCGCGCAGACATGACGACTTCCAGCCTCCCGAACAAGCCGGTTTCCGAAAGGGCTCTAGCACCATAGACCACATACATACCCTTCAACAAATTGTACAGAAGTCCGAAGAGTACAATTTGCCACTATGTCTGGCGTATGTGGACTATGAGAAAGCCTTTGATTCCGCCGAAATTTGGGCGGTGCTGCAGTCCTTACAGCGGTGCCAAGTTGACTGTCGGTATATCGAAGTGTTGAAGTGCTTGTACAGTAGGGCTACGATGACTATCCGAGTACAGAACCAGAGTACGAAACCTATCCAATTGCAGAGAGGTGTAAGACAGGGTGACGTCATATCCCCGAAACTCTTCACCGCTGTATTGGAAGACGTTTTCAAGCTTCTGGACTGGAAAGGATACGGTATCAACATCAATGGCGAGTACATCACTCACCTTCGATTTGCCGACGATATAGACCTTATGGCAGAATCGCTGGAGGACCTAAGCACTATGCTCAATTACCTCAATAGTGTTTCCCAACGGATAGGTCTTAAGATGAACATGGACAAAACAAAGATCATGTTTAATGTCCATGTCACACCTATGCCGGTAGTTGTTGGAAGCACTAAGCTCGAAGTTGTTGACGAGTATGTTTACCTGGGACAAATAGTCCGACTAGGTAAGTCCAATTTCGACCGAGAGGTCAATCGACGGATTCAAATCGGCTGGGCAGCGTTCGGGAAGCTACGACACATCTTCTCGTCAGACATACCTCAAAACCTGAAAACGAAATTGTACAACCAGTGCGTGTTGCCAGTGATGACTTACGGAACTGAGACGTGGTCCTTCACTGCTGGCCGTATGAGGAAGCTCAAGGTCGCTCAGCGAGCTATGGAGAGGGCTATGCTTGGAGTTTCTCTGCGTGGTAAACTTAGGAATGAGGATATCCGCAGTAGAACCAGAGCAACCGACATAGCCCAACGGATTAGTAAGCTGAAGTGGCAGTGGGCCGGCCATATAGCTCGAAGAACCGACAACCGATGGGGAAGAAAGGTTCTCGAGTGGCAGCCTCGTACCGGTAGGCGAAGTGTAGGGCGTCCCCCCACGAGATGGAGTGACGACCTGGTAAGACATGCAGGAAGTCGATGGATGCAGGTGGCTCAGGACCGTGCTTTGTGGCATTCTTTGGGGGAGGCCTATGTTCAGCAGTGGACTTGTGAAGGGCTGTAATTATTATTATTATCTGGGGTATTTGTATAGTTTTCTCATCTGGTTGGGCTGTATAAATATATAATTGAAAATGAAAATGATAAACTTACATAAATATCAATAAAATAAAATAAATACATAAAAATTACATAAATATATAAAAACCCAACCAGATGGAAGCCCTCGGCAGGGGAGACCAAACGGCCGAGGGTTAGGGGGAAAGGGAAAGAAACCGGCGGACGATGCGGGCGGTATCGAGGAGCACCGCCTTCTGCATTTGAGCTTGGAGCGATCCGTCACGGAGTCCCAGTCGCCTCAGGTGACCCGAGAGGCTGACTGGGATTAACCCGTTCGCAGAAACGACCACAGGAATAATTTCGGCCGGCAGACCACCCCACATGTCGGTCACCTCGTGAGCCAGGTCCAGATATTTTGTCACCTTATCTGTTTCAGCTTTCACGAGGTTTTCGTCATAAGGAATGGTAATGTCGACCAAAAATATCCTTGACTGTGCCCGGTCCATCAGCACAATATCAGGCTTATTCGCAAGAATAGTCCTGTCTGTGATGATGGCCCGGTCCCAGTAGAGCCTGGCGCGGTCATTTTCGAGTACGGCTTCCGGCAAGTACTTATAATACGGTAGTTTCCGATCCACGAGACCGTATTTCAGAGCGAGCTCCTGGTGTAGAATCCTGGCTACTAAGTTGTGTCTGTGCAAATATTATTATGTATATCATGATAAATATCGTTAAACTTTGATTACGCAATTCTTGTAACTGACATTAATCTCAATTAAAATGCAATTCTCAACTTAAAATGTTTATTTTAGGGTATGATAAATAACAGTAATCGAATTGCGGATTGGATTTTTTTTTAAATTCCTACAAGTGCAATCGCTACTCTGTACTGTGAGTATATGTGCAACAGTGTCCACTTACAAACATCTTGCTTGGGAACTCGCTTGTCACTCTTATACTTATAGACCGCCTCACCGATTTCGATGATGACCACCCTAGATATTTGGATATTTTCCCATCATGAGCCCTGATATGGCTTGCTAGGCCGAACTTGGTCTTAAAAACTATTTGACATGCGTGGCTGTAGAGTTGGCCAACTGAGTTTTAAGTGTATTCCTAGGAGGGCCTAGGCCTAGGCCTAGGTAGGTTTTGAGGCGGCTTTCTGCAAACGATTTTTTTTGAAGATCGTAGATCACCAAGATGACCTTTTTGCTGCTAGTTCCTCCCAACACTCAGAGTCGATAGCGCAAGCGTTAAGGCAATCTATAGGGAAGGCCTATGTTTAGCAGTGGACTTTTAAAGGCTGCAATGAATTCAATGTAGATATGATCCCATAAAAGTCATAGTTGCTTGTTTTTTGGAACGCTGGTAATAAAATAGTTCGTAATATATTCACATATTTGTTATAAATCAAATATAAAATTAAAAAGTCGCCGTGATCACGTTTTTCTTTGTGTTATTCGTTTTGTATGTAATTAAACAAACAATATAACGGCAAGTAAAAGTTGTAAGGTTCATTATAATACATATTGTATCTAATTGTTTTTAATTTAGTAGTTTAAATTAATATGATATATATTAAACACTAGCTGTTCCCCGCGACTTCGCCCGCGTTTAATTTAGGGTTTTAATTTTTTTTTGCGCGTCAGCCTAATTATTTTTCTGAAATAAAAGTAGCTTAAGTTATTCCTTATAACATCACCTATCTGCAACTGAAAGTCCCGTCAAAATATCGGTTCAGTTATTTCGAAGATTAGCCGGAACAAACAGACAGACAAAAATTTTAAAAATTGTGTTTTTGTTATAAGTAGCGTATATTTATAGTATAAGTATAGTTATAATAGCCACTTTCATATGTATTTAGTAAAAAGTTGTTATTTTGATATTACAAACAGACACTTCATTTTATTTATTTGTATAGATTGATCTAATTCTTATCAAAATATACACAAAAATATCACTTAATTTGTAACACAAGGTAACTGCCGCTTTCCTAGGGGCGTTCTCTCCAATTTAGTGTGGAATAAAAACGGGTGGGGTGTTAAATATGTTTTTCGGTCGGCACCGACACTTTAGCGCGCGTAGAGCGTTGTTTACGCGTGTTTGAAAAATGTGTCATTTATAAATTAATATAACAAAATCTTGCCTCCATTCAATTGGGTAACAAACGTCCAAACGGTTTTTCTTTAAATAAAAAATGCAATAATCAAACTTCTTTCATATGTCAACAAAATAGTTTCAAGTTAGTCTGTCATTGTTGTCTTAAAAGCGATAAAATCTAGAACATAGCCCTTCTTTAGTATATCCTTAAACAGTTTCAGGTCCAGAAGTTTCTTATCGACAAAGCTGCTGACATTTTATTAAGAAACTCTTAACTGGTTCCAACTCTCTCAAAGCTGTTAACAATAACAGGGCTTAATAAGTGTGACAGTGAGTGATTTGTGCCTAGTGACTCCATAAGGAGACCACTATCGTTCGTACTCCGGTCAAACCGGAGTTTTCAAAAGTAAGCAAAATCACCAAAGTGTCTCCGATAAAGTTGTCAGCTATGGACAGCAACTCGGTATCACCGATGCCGGAGTTGGCGCCGATTGCGGAGTTTGACAAGTCGCCTCCTTCACCGCCTAATGAAGAAGTGCCAATGGATGATTTGCCGCCTCCGCCCGCAACAATTACGCAATCGGAAGGAAAGAAACTAAAAGTGTGAGTATTCATGAATTTTTATAATAATCACTTAAAGATTTTGTTGCAAATTACATATATATCTTTTTTACGCATATTTTAAATACATAGATTCTTTATTCCATTTTACTTTGAAAAAGGAACGTTACATTAGGATTTTCTCCTGGATCATGGTCGTGATTTATATGAATATACAAATCGCGCACACGGACAAACATCTCATGAATAAATACATATAGGCTATGCAACACACTTTTATACGTGGTAGAGCCATGCTGCAGCTATATTAGTAGTATAGTTGCAGCACCAATGGGTCGGCTCGACCGGGGAAGGACCACGCTCTTACAGAATACCAGCGTAAAATAGCAGCTTAACGCTGCTGTGTTTCATATGGTGAGTGTAGACAACCGGAGACCCTTTTTACTGGAAAAAGAGGCATTCCATCTTAGTCCTCACGGATGACAACGCATCTGCATTTTGATTCGCATACAAGGATAGATGTAGATGTCTATGGACGACGGAACTACTTACTATCAGGGGACTGTGTGCTTGTTTGCTACCCTATCCTATAAAAAATGCAAACACTTAATTGGTGCGGGGTTCAAAACTTTGACACGCAGTGCCAATAAAAGGTGCTTATCAACTAGCTATCAAAGCCATATATATCATCATCATCATTACAGCCCTTCACAAGTCCACTGCTGAACATAGGCCTCAAGGAATGCCACAAAGCACGGTCCTGAGCCACCTGCATCCATCGACTTCCTGCATATCTTACCAGGTCGTCACTCCATCTAGTGGGCGGACGCCCTACACTTCGTCCGCCGGTACGAGGCCGCTACTCGAGAAACTTTTTCCCCATTCGGATGTCGGTTCTTCGAGCTATATGGCCGGCCCATTGCCACTTCAGCTTACTAATCCGTTGGGCTATGTCGGTCACTCTGGTTCTACTGCGGATATCCTCATTTCTAAGTTTATCACGCAGAGAAACTCCGAGCATCTCTCCATAGCTCGCTGAGCGACCTTGAGCTTCCTCAGCCATATACATAATAATATCTAATATATAAAAAAATATATTTGTTTGTCTATCGTGCCTATCATACCGTTCATCACTTTGCGCTTAAATTTTGTCAACTTATTGCTTACACTTACGCGAAGGTTTTAGGCATGTTTGGACCCGGTAGATGGCGCTGTAGTAGAATCCAGATATCACCCGTGCGAAGATGGGGCATATCGCTAGTATCCAATAAAATCTGTCAAAGAAACTATTTGGATAAGAAACGCGTATGCGGTAAAATTTGATGTGATGTGGGATCTCCGATAATTAGTTGAATAACTATTTCATAATTCCAAATTCACAATATTAATTTAAAGCCGGTGTTGGTATGTGTTTGTTTGTAGTTTCTCTTTACACAGTTAAATGACAATTATATTAGAGTTAGAACGCGAAATAAAACTATATCTAGAAGTGAACATTTTGCTGTCATCTCTCGGTAATAAAACAAGACTGATATTAAAAGATACTTGTCGGACTGACAATAGGAATCCGTTACCTATACTATAAAGTTTACTCGCTTAGTTCAAAACACTGAGACTCTATTAAAGGCCTAGATAATTATTTTTCGTTGATATTCGATTTTTAAAATACTTTGTCGTATACCTAAAAAGTTCTCGAGTGGCAGCCTCGTACCGGTAGGTAAAGTTTAGGGCGTGACAACCTGGTAACACATGAAGGTAGTAGATGGATTCAGGTGGCTCAGGACCGTGCTTTGTGGCATTCCTTGGGGGAGGCCTATGCTTAGCGGTGGACTTGTGAAGAGCTGTAATGATGATGTTGATGATACCTAGATTATTGTCGTGAATAGAATATTTTATTACACTAATGTTAAATATTTTTAGACCTAAAATTGGAATGATGATTATTTGTTTTATTTTTATCGTTAGTGAATTAAATTTTTCTATTCACTATAATAATCTATACGATAAAGTATTTTATTTAAAGATCTTCCTTATCAAAAATATTATGTGCTTTTATTTTGATGTTTCGCCTTAATTATTAAAACAAACATGTCTGGTGATCATATTCACACAATAATTATAATAACATATATAATTTTATATATTGCTTTTGTATATGATTTTTGGTTTAATGGCACATTTTTACGAAAAAACTTCAGATAACAAATTGTACTTTGGTAAGTGGCTAAAAGTTTGGTTAGATTGTTACGGGGCAGTGGCTTTCTATCCCGCGTGGTGCAAGTGTTTGTATGGTCTACATAATATATTTGTTTCGGATCTTTATATACGTCTGTGTGTAATTTATGTGTATAAAACGCTTCTAGGATACGAGATGGAGGGCCCGGTTTTGGAATTTATATAATGAAAAATATAATATTCTTGTGCTGCCCCCTATCAATCACAGTTGTCACCAACTTGTACTACTAGCTCCAACTTCTGTTAGTGCTTTACAGTACATGCGTTTGTTGATAGATGGCGTAAAACCTTTAAAACTCTTGCGCATTGTTTTTCACAACTTCACATATTATTATGGTTTGGCACTGATAACACAATTTAATGATAATTTTATGTAAGTTAACCTTTACGAAATTATTAATTTCATAATTTCAGGTAGTGAAATTAATGGTATACGATTTCTTTATCTCACTCTATCAGGTTGATTTATTAGTAAATGGTCTCTGTCTGGCCTAAACTATTAGTAAGGTCAAAGTAGGGCGCACATACCGCCTTCGGATCGAGTCGAGATCTCAGAGAGTGGTGATACGAACGTCGCGTTAAACATGCTCATGTGACCAATTGCCGCCTAATTTATATTCGAACTTTTACGACGAGTCTGTGTTGTGTTTTGTTTGTGTTAACGTTTTGTCTCAACTAATTCTACAAGAATGGCACGAGGAAAGAGTCAGAAGTATGTTCATGTTTTTATTTATATTATTATAATACTGATAATTATGACCATGTTAAAAAATAGTATATATTGTGATTTGGACATAAATAATTACCTGCGTTACTTGACTAAAAATTTAGAAACACAAGTTATTAATTTAAATAATAAATATATACATAAAAAGAATTTAGCGCTTTATATACAACATTATTTTTTACTAATTTAATTTCATTATTTTTATGTTATTAAATTGGTTTAAAGAAAAATATCTTTATTCTATATTATTATGGCACATACTCATAAAGATGGCGCTTTTTTAAGTGATTACTGGCTAGTTGGGCGGAGAGGCAAGAAGGTAGCAATTGACTTCATCACTTCATTACACTTTCTACTCATGAATAGGGAAATAAAAAGTTGTGTGAGTAATTATCTAGAATTATTTAAAAAATATTCTATCCAATTTTTACCTTTAGATCTAAGCTATCTATTTTTAATTAAGTAGAATCGACTAGCAACTAGCTACTTTCACGAATTAAACATTACTTAGAAATCACTATAAAAATAATGAAATTGTACTCTCATTTTAATTTCAGAAACACTTTCATTGTGAAAGCTCGTTATTAAAAAGTAGAGTAGAAGGAGAGTTTTAAATATTTAATTTCAATATATAACTTTATTCAGTTAGGTACTTGAAACGATATGATTATAAATAATAAAAAATGCAATCATTGCTTATTTTAGTATGGCATCTCATAAACCGATTCCCCATGTAGTGATCTGCTACCCTATAACCCCATATTATTCCGTGGTTGTGGTAACAGAGGAAAATGCAAGAGGCGATGGTAGCTGCTAGCTGCATCTTCCTGATAATAACTCAAAATAACAAACTCCATTTGTCAACCGGCCTACCAGGCGTGGTAACTATAGATGAATATTTTCCCTATGAGGGATCCCTATGTTAAGCAGTGGACTTTTGATGGCGGTAGGGTGTAACGAATGAATTAATGAAATAAAAACAACGCTTGGTTAGTCGCGCATGCATCGTGATGTATATCTGAGTTTTTAACTCTACATTCAAACTGAATGTTATGTAGTGTGACATACATTACTTTACATATCAAACCAATCTTCGAGACGATGAACCGTTGGGTCAATTTCTTGACTAAAAATAGGCTAGCTTGTAGTTTTTAATTTAAATACAAAAAGGGAGACAAAAGTGTGTGAAATAAACTATATTTATTATATGTTACATAATGTTACTACGTTAATCACCAATAGCGAGTAGATTATTTGCGGTAGCTATTTTTCGAATAATTGAGATGGTTCAAGCAATATTCTCAAAGGCAACCCGCATATTTGCGAGTCTATTCGACCTCCAATTGTGTTATTTTATTATAGCGGGAGCGGGAGCTCCGGAAATAGGATGAAATTGATTCCATTTATTATTACACGTCAGATGAGACCGCGAGATAATGGGCGGAGCGGGGTCTCTATATTTCCCCCACATGATTGACGTTATATTGAACATTGCATTAATGTGCACTTTTCATTTTCTTCTTAAATATAACTAAACATGTTAATCTCCGGTAGATTTAAGTATAATCAAAGTAATACATAAATGTTATTAAAAGATTCTTAACAGTAAAAAATAATTTTCTATATAATCTAATGAAGTCGTGTAGAAAATTGCATTTTACTATCTACGGATAAGTGAGTACCCTGTGAGAGCATGGTACTACCCCGGTCAAGCAGACCCATTCGTGCTACAACCATAATATAGCTGCAGAGTGGCTCTACCACGTTTAAAATATCAAAGCTGTCGGAGTGACAACGCATCTGCATATTGATTCTTTATCTGGGATAAGTTTATGCGTCTACCCGCGAATTCGAATCCCGGAACAAGTATTTGTATGGCCTACAAATAATTGTTCCAGGTCTGGATTTTTGTCTTTGTGCAATTTATGTTTGTAAGCTGCTTCTACGATACAGGAGAAAATCCTAGTGATGGGTAACTTATAAAAAAAATTCTACTCAACTGTAAGAAAAATCTATGATCAGCAATATACTACTTACGAACTTATAGTGATGGTAAACGACGGTCATTGAATTAGGTACA